AGCAAGCCACCAACTTGATAAAAAATATATATTTATAATTAATTTCAAAAATTTTCGCACATTCCAACTTCTTGAACCAAAGTCCAGATCACTGCTCACTATTACTTATTATACCTATAAGCTTAACCGAAGTTAAATATCTTATTTTTGCACTCTTCTGCATTGTGGTAACTGAACTTCAGGAGAGTAAAATTTTGCGACCTCTATTGGAGAGACCATAAGTATGCTACCTAAAAGAACAAATTTGAGATTGCTCAACTGTACTGACGTCTAACTGCTGAGTGTAAATGCGGTCTTTTTCTGAGAACGGCCTGTCCACATGCTACATAACTCTCCCACAATAACTAAGTAGATAAATGTTTGAGATGCTAGAACTTATGAGAAATACAAAGTTTACTATAGCTTGAACTTGGAAAGCATTCTGCTTCTTGGATACTCAAAATTTAGAAGTCTTGTTGGAGGGATACTAAAAATACAGTTGAAGCAAAAGTAGGTTGTTACGTAAAGTTACAATAAGGAAATGTTATAGAATAAATCTTATATTATATAAGGCAGGACCTGCAACTATGTATAAGCATACTCTTTACTGGATAGTACATTGCAATAACTCGACTATTCTCTCAAAGAGAGAGGTAGAGAGAAAGAGAGACTTCTGGTATGGCTAACATTTGCGCTGACCTTCAGTAGTGAGACCACAATATCTAAACTTTCTAGAGATATTAGAATGGTCAGCATTAGCTGGATATTCTCGGTAAGAAAGTTTACATTCGCTGTAAATATTTCAAGAAAAAAGTCCATCTGAATCAAATCCGAATTGTGTTGATGAAAGCAAGTCAGGGTACTGCTACGAGTTTGTAGAGACAAACAAGACCGTAATGAAATTCACTGCAGTTTTACTACATACTCATATGCTTAAGAAGTTAAGTAATTGCATTTTTTACCAGTGTTACACTACACTACTATCTTAATTGATAAAAAAAAAAAAATATTATAAGGCGTATTACATGATGGCTACCTTTTCTAACACCCGTTCAATTTTCGTACTCTTCAACACATTTCTTCGCATATTTATATACTTGTATGTAGCGCATAAACACCGAAAATAAGTGCTAAAATGAGGAAATTAAATTTAACTGCTGAAGATGTTCAAAAGTGATAATAAACAGTTAAGTGAAGTGAGAGGTAAACTATGATTGAAATAAGTACCAAGGAAAAGTTGACGGAGGAACACTTGTAGGTAATAATGTGGACAGGTATATATACAAGTACTTAGGTATACAAATACAGAGGTAGTTCGAGGAGTTTGTTTTTGCAGTTTTAGTATTGCAACGTCATCAAACTTGTCTGAGGAATGGTTGTCATTCTGCGGAATGGAAATAGCGAAACACTTGGAGAAGGTGATGACCAGAAAGTTAGCAACACCACCAGTTCATTCAGATACCGAAAGAATTTCTTTGAGTGGTTTTTTATGGAACGAAACTATAGATCAAGTGACAGTATCTTCATCGGATTTCTTCGTATGACTGTGTAGTTCTAGACAATTTCCTCTACCTGGGAACCGTCATCAGTGGCGACAGCAATGCAAACATTGAAAGACGATGTCTAATTACTTTTTGCAACACTAACCTATGGCACGAAACACTTAACCTATGGCAAGCGGGGAGAATGAAAACATTCGTTGCGGTGGATCTTGGAAAGTTTGATATTAGGTTAGGTTAGCTCGAAGGGTTGCTCAAAAATCGGTGGATCCTACTTGTACAGATATTTGTCCTTTGTGTTATCCATGAACCACCAGATCCTCATAGATCGCGATGGAATGATGGACTAGATGGCGATACGATGGTTTATCGATTCAAAAATTAGCTATAATGATGGCTGGGACACTTGGTTCGAACGGATGAATAGTTTTCAGCTCGCTAAAGTATTGACACGACTGGAATAAAGAAGTCAGTTGAGACTTGGCCAGAACTTAGTCTGTCATAGTACTAACAAAGAAGAACCACAATGACTTATTTCTAGATGAAACAAAAGAAAAAAGTACAGAACACAAACAGTACAACAAGAAAGTGGTCTTCGTTCAAAGCAGATTCTAAGGTTACTAAAATTTCTATATAGCATTGGTGATGTGCGGTCTCTAACTTAAGAAATGACTCGTCGTTCTTCCTTACCTCGAGAAAATTTTGTTTGAAAAATAAAAATTTTAGAGAACATTAGTTTCCTTCGTGAAACACTTTATATTTAGCTCAAGCACAAGATGTTTAAGTCCCTGATCTATTACGCGACCCTCGTTTGGAAGCAGCTCACTCGTTGCTAAGGCAAGAAAAGTACAAACAACATTTTCAGATAATAAAATTAAAGTGTCAAAGTGGGGACCCATCATGAAAACTGTTCAAATGCAAGCAACAACAATAACAAAATGCCATGGCATAATAAAGGAAAACGTCTAGTTACAGCTAAGTTAGCTTACGGCGCCGATGTGTGGGTAGTTATTGAAGCAACAGGTGCTGCTGGAAGCCCTCGCAATCAACAATTACGGCAACTATTTACTAAAATTAACCGAAAATGGCAGAAAAATTGTGGCATGAAGAGAAAAGTTTGGCTAAGTTAATAATTAGGCTATGTGAAGAGGCCAAGCAGTGGGACAAATGGCTATGAGGAGCAAAATAAGCCTAGTAGCAGTAACAAAAACAAAAAACGATGACACCAAGTTTCGCCGCATTCCACAATCGAGCGATCTGCTACAAGTGTTGCCACCAGCTTCGGCTACGGTCCAATATCTGCTCGCTGTCGCCGTTATTGCAACATTTTAATTAGCAACAATTCATTTGTTAAAGTTAATTTGTTATTATAGCGTCAGCGTAATTTTTGAAGTAAACACAAACAATAACAAAAACGAAAACAGAAGCAACAAAGCAGTCTTTCGGTTGAGATTAGAGCGCCGACTAGATGAGAAGATAAACATGAGTATGTATGTGAGTGTGTGCGGCTGCGATAAAGATTAGACAATGTTGATGAGATCGCACTTTTGGCGCTTATGAGCGCAACAGCAGCAGCCACAACACCAACGGCGGCAGTCTAGTGCTGCCTATTATGCTCTGTCATTATACTTATGTTTGTATGTGCGTGTTTGCGTGTCAGTTGCCACCGCTACCTGCTGTTTGCTTGCAACATCCACGCAAAAGCGCTTGGCTCACGGCTGCAACTCCAATATGGTTCGTGCAGGTTACCCAAATACACAACACACTCCATTAACAATGTTGCCATTATCACATTAACACATTTATTTTTGCTGCAGCACAGTTATTCGCAGAAAAATATATATGGTATATTTAGGTTTGTATATATTCGCATTTCATTTAGAAAATCTGCCAACTTCCCACACACAGTGTGTGCGAACACAGACAAGTTGTTTTGTCTTCTTATTCGTCTTCAACTTCATCTTCTTTATGCTTACGAATACTTTGAACGCATATAACTATTGTTGTTGTAACTGTCATCACAAAGCCATGCGTGTTGCATGTCGAAAATGTAATAGTATTGAAGGTGTTGAGAAGGTTGTTGTTGTATCGCTGATAAATGATTGCGAGTGCTTTGTAATAAATGTTAAAACTTTATGTTTTCATATTGAGAAGTAGAGAACATTTTTTTCTTTAGGTGGCAACCCTATGCTACAAAATATGTTTTAATAAAAGTCGCTCCTAATTTTTTTCAAAAGGCATTTACTTGTATAAGAAGATTGTGTTTTTCACAACTTTTGTACTTTTATTTTCTGATTTTTTTTTTAATTTCTCTGGTTGGTAATTCTAGCAAAAAACATATGTATATGTTCAGATGTAGCAGCATCGAATATTTCTTTAAACATCTCCTTCTTCTGTTATAAATTGAGAATTTCTATAATATTATTTTACTAAAATCTTACTCAGCAACAACTGTGATAGATGAGAAAGAAGTATAGGCCATAAAACTATACGAAAGCCGAATAACTCTCGAAGTTAACCCAGAAGCTAATCATTGCAAAAACCCAAAAAAAAAACAACGTTAACTTCGGTTGCAACGAAGCTATAATACCCTTCACAATACCTATTTGATTTTAATCGGCCAGTTTGTATGACAGCTATATGCTATAACGATCCGATTTGGACAATTTTTTCTGGAGTATCATTGTCTTAGACAATAATCCGTGACAAATTTCTTGAAGATATATCCTAAAATTAGAAAGTTTTTCATACAAGCAATTGATTCCGATCGACCAGTTTGTATGGAAGCTATATGGTACAGTGATCTGATATACACGGTTCCAAAAAATGAGCAGCTGCTTTTGAAAAAAAGGATATGTGAAAATTTTCAAATCAATATCTCAAAAACTGAGGGACTACTTCGCATATATTTAGACAGACGAACATGGCTAAATCGACTCAGCCCGTTAAGCTGATCACTTATCGTATACTCTGTCCACTATATAGACCGGACCTGGCACAAAATGATTACTATACCTGTTCCAGTCTATGGTGAATGATTTTTCTGATGAAAACATCGCCTGAAGAGAAGGTTGTAAAAGTCGAATGTCCCAGTTTCTTGCCAATAGGAAGGAGGGTTTCTATGAGAGTGGCGTTATGAGATCACTATCGAATTGGCAACAAGCTACCGAACAAAACGGTTCCCATCTTTACTAGACCTTTTAAAATATTATTAAGTTCTTTCTTGATCTTGAGAGAGAGCCAGGCAGTATTTAACATAACGTGGAAGTCAGGATTGATCACATTGGCTTGGGGGAGGGGCATTTGTTCAAAAAATTTTAGGAACCGAATGCCGAACTTTGTAAAACGTTAATTAGCGACTGAGTTTGATAAATAAAGCACAGGGAGTCAGATATAGTATGTCGATATATATCTTTACTTGTAGGAGGTATGATTTATACTCAAATGAACTTAATTTAATTTTTAAATTTTCTACGACCGCACTTTAACGAAAGAATATATGCCTATTGTATCATTATACAGATTTTGGAGTCCAGCAATGAAGAACAACGTCCACCCAACGAGGCTAATGGCAATACATTGGCACAACGAGCGTCCTGGTTAAATAAGTTGAATGCCATGGATGGTGTGGATACACAACGAAAATATGGCACACGTGGCATCTACGACAATGGACGTTACTATTAAATTACAAACCGATTGAAAAAAGTAGAAAAATGTGCGAAAAGAAGTTAAGTGAAAGCGTTGACGACCACACAATATAATGAAATTAAACCAAAACCACAATGAAGGCAAACAGTTTAAGCTTGAAAAAGTAATGTGCCAAAATAGCTAATAGCGATAAAACGAACAATTATATTAAAAAAAACTTGATTTTGGAATTACAAATATTATTGAATAAATTTTATTTATATATAATGGGTTAAAGACTATTTTAGAGATACAGTTTTCAATTCTTTCTATTTTATTGAAAGCTTCTTAGCAGAAATCAGAGATTTAGTAAAAACTATTAGACACGAAAGCTTTCGCTTTATCTTTTATTTATCTATTTTACAGCCCGGAAATTTTCACTTCAATTCTTTGGATGTTACTTTTCTTCTAAAGAGTAAAGAGTTTCTAATAAAAGCTAATAGATGTGAAAGCTTTTACGACTTGAAAGCGAACACTTCAGCTCTTCATGAGTTTTATATTACAACAAAAGCTTTCACGAAAGTTTGTAATCGATTTATATTGGTTTATAATGACAATAAAACATTCATCTAAAGCTTTGAGAGTAGGAATATTTGTGCTTTCAAAAGCTTTCTCACACTTTTATAATAATATGGTTAATTAAATTTCCGAAACAAATAAATATGGTCACATTTAAAAGTTTTGTATTCATTTTCCAAGCTTGAGCAATTTAGTTTTAAGCTCTAAGGGAAGTGAAAGCTTTCCATAAGCTTAGTTAATACAGATTTTAGAAAAGTGAAATAATTTGCAATGTTTCTGTGTCATTTAAAATTTTACTTAGTGAATCAAAATATTTTATGTTTGTGGAGATTTCGCTTTTGATCAGGTTAACGGAAAATATTCAAAAAATAACAAAAGATGTTTTACGTATATTGTTAAGCTTTGTTGCATATACAATAAGAAATTCTTCAATTTCTCATTTTAATTTTTAAGCTTTTTTGAAGCTTTTCAGTACCAAGTGAATTGTTAAAATACATTTCTTTGTTTAATGAGTTTTCATATTCTCTTCACCTAAAATGAGTTTTCATAGTCAAAGTGAAAGCTTTTGAAGTAGCAAGCTTTCATTTTATATTACTAATCTCTCACTGTTTAGAAGCTTTTCGGGTTATTTTCTGATTATTGATCTTTAAACACAATCATGTCCTCCTATGGTAGTTAATTTATTTCAATGCATTAGAAAAAAAAAAACAATTAGTATAGATCTTAGTAAAAATGGCAAGCATACGCCTATGAATATATTATGAGGCAAAGCTCATTTATTTTTAAAATCTTTGCAAAATGAAAAAAAAAAAATTATTGTTCATTTCTCCCAACAAAAATTTGTAGTATATACATATTCATTGATCTATATACTCGTATGTATGTGCTAAACCTATTTGAGTAAAGAAAAACTTTAAATGTTCCTATATATGTAACAACAACAATAATTAACCATATGTATGTATATTATATTTAGCTTTTAGTAGAAAAATGTTTGCCATACAAATGTTATTTTTAGCACTTTAATCATTCCTATATATTGTGTAATTGTATTTAAGTGAGCGGCGGACAACAAAAACAACTGTTATGTATTGTATGTATATGTAATATGTACTAAAAATCTACTCCTATTGTATCTATAATTGTAAATGTTGACATGAAAACAATAATTTTTCGTAGTTTTTAGGCCAAAGCAAAAACAAAAGTGAAAAATACCGAAAAAACATAAACAAACTAAATGAGTTAACAGAAAATATTTTAAATTAAATTATAAATATATATATGTATACATATAGTCAAGGCGATTGCAGAATAATACGTTATATACCAAATGAAAACATTTTAAGTGAAATTTTAAATAAATACTCACAAATACCATATACTCGTGCATATGTATGTTGTATCAATCAAACCTGGGCAGCTTTATGTTTAAAAAATAAATAGAAAACGAAAATATTTATTATTGTTTTAATTTTGTTGTGATACAAATAATGTGAACAAATATTGTGAGCTTTCATGCCAAAGCTCATACAACACGTACACAGCATGAAATCCCGTTAATTGCCACCTTTTTTAAAGACGATAGTACTTGGCGAAGCGCTAGAAAATACTCTAATTTTATAGTGGAGGATAGGAAAATGGTAATTATATACTTTAGCCTTGTGGAAAATAAAAGCTTTTGATATTTCGCTATTAAAGACGATACTGTAATAGGAAAATAACTCAAGTATCTTTGAAAAATTTTAAGTATAGTTATCGCCGATAATTAGTGCTGCGAAGATTTTGAAATGTTTTAAGACTGTTTCGAATTACAATAAAAATAAGAAAAAACGTTAACTTCGGCTGCACTGAAGCTACAATACCTTTTACAGGTGCATTTCTTAGAGAATGCAAGGGTATAATAGATCTTTATCTTGATTTTGGTCGATCTCGTTGTATGGCAGCTATATAGTTATCCGATTTGGATAATAATTCAATTCGTTTCGGATAACAATTATACAGACAGACGAAGAGACAGACAGATGGTAATGGCTCAATTGACTCAGCTCGTAATGTTAATCAATTATATTTACTATATTTTATGGAGACTCCGGCATTTCCATCTGGGTGTTATAAACTTCGTGGTAAAAAAAAAACTTCGAGGCATAACTTATTCAGGGTATACATATTGGATTCGATGCATATAATCATATTTCTGACGCTATTTTGCAATAAGTGGGCAATTGGAATCGACGAACAAAATTAATTTGAAGTGTTTATCCACATAGTACCTTTCTTTCATATTTCAATACATGTTATATAGGGAAGTTAAATGGTAAATCCAGTAAGAGATCGAAAACAAGATTTCGGGAAAAAATTTGAATTTTAGGAGGATAAGACTAGAGATCGTCATAGAGCCAACGGTTACTGCAACTATTTTTCAATAATTAGTTTTATTCTAACACATCTCTATAGCCAATGAACAAAAAAATATCATATTCGCATGTTCTTCCATAATAAGTTCGAACCAAAATGGAAGATACCTCTTTGTTACATTACAATTTTATCTTACTTATTATAAATAATATGGCGACGAATATTTCGCAAAATATTTCATAAATCGACCGAGACAAAATGAGTGATTAGAAAATCGAAGCTTTGTAAATGCAAAAAAAACTGCTTTGTTAGAGAGTGACAACCACTGTTATCAATATTCTATTTCTGGAGAGATTGATTTATGTTCACACCGCAAGGAATTGTTTAATTAATTGTGTTGGAGTGCTTTCAATAATGCCTAATATTTCTATACTATAAAAATTTCTATAATATTTCTCTAAAGCTATTTTATAAAAGCTGACCTATAAATTGTAACCAAAAACTATATATTACAGTATATCTAAAATTCTCTCTCTTCTATCTCTTAACATCTATTTATTAATTTAGCTATTAATTTTGCTTTGCGCATTCTGATTAAAGTAATCAGACTAAGAATTGTAGAATAAGAGATAACGACAGCTGCACCCAGTCACTTTTTAGAGTGTATTAAAGAGAAAATTGTTTGGGTCATGACGTCACTAACGCAATAATGCAATTACTTTGACAGTTAGGCAGTTTTTCTATGTTTTTTCTACTCAGTCACAAGCTTATTCATTAATTGTTTTAAAGTGTGGTTAAGTGCGATTATTTGCTTATTTTATATTGTAATGGTCAGCTCTTTTTCTCTGATATGTATCAATGACTTTTTATTTATATGTCACAAAGATAATTGAACTGACAGAAAATTTGAAGGTTTAGGAATCTAGACATTTTTTATTTCAGGCTCTTGTTCATTTCTCTCAGGCACTTTGTTCATTTTCTATAATGAAAAAGGTATATTAAACAGATTAAATAACAAAATATTATATTCCATTTAATAAACTCCAATTTGTCTACTACACCAAGTGCATGTGCACTTAAAGACTGCCAATGAACCGAAATTACTTTTACAAATGTAATTCAAGATCCAAGCAGAGTGTGTAAGTACATGTATCCTTGCAACCTACGGCAGTGTGAAATATGTCTTGAAAGAAATTTCCCAAAAAGGCATATGTGTATATTTGATGAGGAAGGTCAAGAGCCCTCACCAAAGCGCGCTATCAGTCACTCGTTCGCTGAATATGTAAACAAAGGCGGCAAAAGAACAATGTAAGTGATGACATCAACGCACACAAGAAGAAAAAAAGAATAAGAAGAAGAAAACATAAAAACACGCAAGTCAACCTAAAAACAAAAGTGGTTTTTGTTAAGCTGTTAAGATGTCATAATTAGGTTGACGTTGTCACTTAAAAGCAACTGTCTTTAGCAACGCTTGCCCTTAACGACAGCAAAATATGACTCTACGACCAAAAAAAAAAGTTATGTTTACACATGTGTATGTTCATATTATATGTTAGTATGTATGCGTTTGTCACTGTTGCCTTTGGTGTTAGCGCTGCGCTGTCACTCTTGTTTTACGGTCATGTTTTGCGTTGTTGCCTACTGATGACGTGCGAAAAATTATGTATTGCCACATAAAGACAACCGAAAAAAATATTTCCTGCGCTAATTAAGATTGTTGGACATTTCTTTACTCCACAAATGACAGCTTCATTATAGCCTATCTATTAAATATAGATACTTTAATATCGGAAATTTTTAAAATATTTGTATAGGTTATAGATTCAACCTTAAATATTTTTTCAGAATAGTGGGGAGTTCACAGCCTTTCGTGGGATAAAAATTCGGTCTTTCCCCTTTCGTTGGATTGTCGTAAAAGCAACTTAAGGCTTAACTTCACAGGATAATTAGGAGACACTCTAAGTCTTCGATTTAGCTACTACAGCCAAAAAACTAAAAAAAATATATTACTCTTTTTCTATCGGAAACTGAAATAATTCAAACCCAATAGAAGCCAATGTGCTCAAGAGAGCATCTGTCAATAATCCCACGCATTCCGAATTTGGTTGTATACCAGTTTCTAAAAGTGAGTACTGATCTGGTCGAAGGCGTTAGACAAATTTTCTTGCAATATCTTTGTCCAAATTTTGCTGTCTTAGGTCATAAAAAGTCTATTTAATAGTTTGTATAAAAAAAGCTTTATTCAACACACCCGAGGTAAAGAATATATTCTGTTGATAAAAATCAAGAAAACTAACAAAAAAAAAAAAAAAAATCGTAAAATAACAAGAAAAAGTCATTAATGAAAGTGA